GGAAAGAAAAAAAACGCCCCCAAAAAAGCCGCGAGAAAAAAACACAACAATAGCCAAAAAAAAAAAACAAAATGGGAAAAATATCAGACACATTCACATCTGTCCCCGAAAAACACATCCCCTGTCAGTATTTAGAATAGGATTTTAGTTTTCCCTGAGATGGTATTCAGATTTACAGCAAAAATGTGTTAAAAAGACATTACAGCTACTTTTTTTAATAACAAGTGTTACTTTTAAAACAACTAATGGAAAAAACCAAAAAAACTCACTATGCTTTGCGTTGGAAGGAAAACGAGGCCTTTTGGTCATCCTGTCACTGAAAACACCTTTATCGTGTTGATATCAAAGCAGGACACGGTAAACCAAATCAAGACAGATAAAGCATTCTCTCCACCCCTGCTAACAAGCTTGAATACACTAACAAACATGGCCAACACAAGCTGAAACCCATCTTGATCAATGAGAGACTTATATTTGTTAAAGCAAGCTTGCGTATGAGCCACAGTGTCATTAGCATACAGTGGAGCCCAGGTGGAGCTTGGATACGGCTGTTATCACGAACCGGGTGTAAATGATCTAAGGCTCTGCTCATACATGGCCTTAACATTGGTCTTGGGTGGTACAACTACAGGTGGACTGCTCCTGAAGGGACTCGATTAATGCCCCATTGCTCAGACCACATTTGGAGGTGGTCTAGATGGGGATACCTCCCCATTCTTTAAACAGTCTTTAGACAAACGTGTCCTTGGACACATTAAAAGATGGCCTGCTCTAACTAACCTGCTCCTTTTCCAGCAACAAACAACAAAACAGTTGGTGGAGTACACTTGGCAGACTCTTTCCTGCAAAAAAAAGCATTTCTGGATCCATCGAACAATTTTTAACCAGAACCAAATGCAAATCATCAAAAATATATTCTTCTTCAATTTTTTAAACCAAGCATTCTAAACTTAATCACACAACTAACAAAACTACATATGTTTCTGTCAAATGAGGCGAGAGATTCATTGTCTTAATTATATGCAGACTGACCGTGTTAATGCAGCCAGTCAACCTCGAAAGCCCAATTCCACAATTCGCAATAGCTTGTCAGAGTGGGTCTAGATTTGCTTGACATAATAATGGGTAACAGGTCCAGTACCAAACTGAGCTATGTAGGCAGGACTTTAATATTTAATATAATAATATAATAATGCAGGACAGGATTATTTTTATAAATGTGAAAGTAAAATCTGTTATAAAGTCGTCACCCCAGATGTTTGTGATGAAGCATGCCAGGTATGATGAGGACTAAATTCTTGCTCCGTGCTGCTTTTAACTGCAGCTCCCGTTGTTTCAGCATGACTGCTTGAAAAGAAAAACTGAAAACTTGCTAAGCAAACTGACCTTGAGGTCAAGTTCAACCTGTACAGAGATTCCATGCTTGCAATTTGCTAGCAGCACAACACCCTGAAAAATTAACCTAAGAAAAAGGAAATAAATGCACTAAGAGTACAAAAAGCTACCCGAGTACCATCTAAGTGGTTATGGCAATTTAATACAGTGCTTCCTGAGTGAATTGAAATAACAGTTCAATTAACACAAAAACAGAAGCAAAAAAAGGAGCAATATTATGAAAACTGCTGGGTACACCGTGTTCAAAGGAGTCGACATTATTCACCACTAGCATCAAAGGGTTAGCACGAAATGTATACATAATGTACTGCAAGCTTTCTTGCTGAAGGAAGTCTTTACAGTAAATAAAGTAAGCAGTAGCATGCAATAGATTTATGTTTGTATTGACAGAGGAGAGACATTAATATTGTTTTCTAACTTACGACAAGAAAAGAATAAGTAATAAATGATAAATGATTTCTTTAACGAACAAAACCCATAATTATTTTTTTATTATTATTTAAAAAAAATAATATCACATTTCAGAAACATAAAAAATATATATTTATGAAATGCAGAGTGCATCAAAAATTCAATTTCAAAGTGCTTTAGGTCAAGCCATTCACCAGTAACATTCGAAGCACATACCGTTAGAAAGAACGGATTCGTGACTTTCATGTGGTTGCTGGAAGGTGGCATAACAACAGCAGTGGCTACAGTGACCACAAAGTTTGACTATTGTATGGACATATGCAAGTGTCCGGGGAGGTACGCCTTCAGCAATAGTTAAGTTTTGTATGTAAAAGTTTATATTCAACCATGTACTTTAAATTTTACTGCAATTTTCCTTTTCCTTTAAAAAAAACCCCAAAAAACAGTCTTTTGAAATTGGAACATTTTTTTTTTAATACCCTGTCTGTGTGTGCTTAAAAAAATAAACAATATATAAATAAATAATAAATCATTATAAATCATTTAATAATGACAGTTGTGTCACATTAATTCAGTAAAAGATTTGTTAAAAGATTTTAAAAGAGATATTATTGCTAAATTCAACTCACTGTCACCTGATTGTGTAACAGGCTACAAGAATCTGATTTCACATTTCAAAATCTCACATTTCAGATCCCAGTGTGTGGATACTGTTGTTTGAATATACTGGGTGTTTCTAAAGGGGTGCACATGTAACAGCCCCACCCACCGCCAAAAAAAATAAAATAAAAAATAAAAATTTACTCACATACTCAAAGCAGCCTCTATGAACACGCAGAGAGAGCACAGTATAAATCTGCTAGAGCAATGTGATTACAGAAGAAAGGATACCCTCTTTAACCTTGGAGAAAATAGAGTTCATTGTGTGCAAAGAGACAAAAACATGCACAACTGCTTTTCATTCTCATTTTGATTGAGGGCGGGCTGGTCCAGATTGGCCTTCTAATATCGACTGCTCCAACAGAATCAGCGTAATTGCCGGCTACATTCACGCTTTAATATTTTGCTTTGGTGAGCAGGCTGCAGATAAACCGAGGCATTACGTATACATTAGTTTAAAAAAAAAAAATGAAAAAGAAAAAAGGAGACACTGGAAATTACTTCATCTTCTCCAAACTGCTGCCGAATAGCTATATTTATCTGACTGCTGTTACATGAAAATAGCTCAGAGCTTGGCTTTCTGCGGTCATATTTATTGGCAAGTTTGGCACAGCTTCTGCTTCCTCGACTCCTTGAAATACACGGTTGATCACCGGAGGCAAAACCAAGTGCATCACAACTTCATCCAAGTACAAGAAAACACTGTACAGCATTTCATCCTTTCTACCTCCTTATCCTTGATTTAGATCACACATTCCACACCGGCCAAATTATACATGCTTTACCCCGTGTTCTCCTTCTTGGAAAACGTGGTGGAAAAAAAAAATTATAATAAATGGCCTTGAGCTGCAGTTTTGTAATTTGCTGACCATAACAACAGGAGTCGTTTTTCGCTTTGCCTTTGCTAATAGGATAAATGCCTCTGGGTAATTTCTAAATGAATTCCTCCGGCCAAAGCGGTTCCCTAGACCAACCTAAATCACATTTGATATAGAAGGATTATCCCTGATTGAGTTTATTGCAAAGAAGCTTGTGACAAACTGAAGACACGACAATACTTCCACAGAGGTAAGGCTTGCCTGACAATAAGGCTCTGTAGCTTAACACACGCTACAGAGTGTGTTAACACCTCTCCATATAATGCTGCTGTGTGATCATCCACCTGCGGTGACTGGTTATCCTAAATGTGCAGAGCGAAAGTTCTCCCTCGAATGCAGCACGTGAGGCGAGAAGACCCCCGCTAAACAAGGCAGCTCTCAGGCAAATGCATTGTCTTACCTTATCCAGTCCCGAGCTCCCCGTCTCTTCAGAGAGGACTAGCACTAAAGCCTCTTAATCCCTGCCTTGATTTGTGATAGCCTGCTAGGTTTTCAAATGTCATCAGCAGGGAAGTGTGTCCTGCTCCTGCCCCACATGCTCAGCCCATTAATACAATAACAAATGTTGGATGCATCTTCAGAATAGCAACGCACGCGCAGTCATGTTGGGTGGCCGTAGGCTACATCTATTTATATACAGCAAGTCAGGCTCGTAAACAGGGATCAGCACCGGGGGGACCATCCAGGAGAATCGACAAGCGTGCTGTTGGATGTGAGAGTTCACCATAAATCATGCTAAATATGGACTACAGGCACAATGTGATAATTCTGTGATCCATGCATTCGCCTCTACGGTGCCTTCACACTTGCACAGGACAACAGCTCCTGCCCGGTCAGAAGGTGCATTTGTAAAACAGCATGGACTCGATGATCATCAGGAACTTTCTGCAAAACACAGTGTCCTTCACAGCCAGTGCTCCACTCCACTTCACAGCACTGCACTGTAACAACACATGGGACTTGTCATGAGCAACGCTTAGCTGTTTGAAGGATGAGTCTTGCCTAGTGCAGGCTACAACTTTACACGCATCTGTGGAATATAATAACAGGATTTTATTTATTTATTTATTTTTCCTCAAATCCACTCCAGAGCCACAATAAATCTTTCCGTTACAATCTGTGCAGTAGTGGGATTTGTGCAGCTGTAAATTCAGAAGATGCACAACTGGGGTAAGTGACATTGAAATTTATTTCTTCTGCCCGGTCGTTTGCACATGATTAAAGGCTTCTAGGCAGTTTGTCAGCACATGACCAGCTGATTACACCTGAATTATTTTGGTATATATATAATTCAGTAATATGTGTGTATATCTGATAGCGTTGCTATAGTGACCAACTGTAAGTCCTAAATTGTTTGACATTGACGCAGACCGCTCCTTTAAATTCCCAAACCTCGATCTGAGTCGTGAAGTTAGTTTTATTCGCCCTCCTCTTAACGGGAGCGCTTGCGCACAACGTGAGCGCCGTACACACCATTTGGTAGCCTATGGTCCTCAGCTAAGGGCTGGCAGTGAAACTGATGATCCCCCTCATTCATTCATGATAGGACGAGTGAACTCCTGCCTTAACACAAAAGCGTGCAAAAAAAAAAAAAATTGAAGCAAAGGCGAGAGTCAGCGCGGTGTTTCTTCCCACCTCCGCTGACCGAGCGCTTACCTCCACCGGCCGCTCGCTGCTCCTGTCCCCCGGCGTTTGTCCTTGTTTCGCTCCGGCGCTTATTATGTATGAATGCTGTCTTTATCCCGCAAAGACCGCTGTTGCATTTTACAGCAAAAGGAGCAGCACAGTGCAGTGGCAGCGGCTGTGGGCCGGTCTATAAGTGGCCTGCCTGCGCTCGGCTCCGCACGTCACCAAGTGGAGTGGACAGGACTTGGCAGACGGGCTTTCTGCGCTCTCTGCGCGGCGGCGGATCTGAGATGTAAGCGACTGCTTGGACGGACTGGCACACCGTGTGGCCACTTTACTCCCGATGCTGCTCCTCCCCTTTCACTTTGTTTCTCTCACACAAGCCCTACAGCGCCTCCCACCCGCCACTGTATGCCATCGCACGTACCCGCAGAGAGCTGTGCTTGCACTCCAGCATCAGTGAAGCTGTCCTCACAGGAGGTTCCTTGGATCATTATCAGCCATGAAGGGAGTTCCAAAGGTTCAATCGTATTCTTCTTCTATTACTTAGACAAGAAAGCAAGAAAACAAACTGTAATAATTGTACTATTCACTAAAAAAAGAAAAGAAAAAACAGTGTTTGGGGTGGTTACAGCTGAAATATTCCCAAACAATCTTCCCAAATAAATCCAAATTACAGATGAAAGGTGCACTAATGCTGGCTGTTCTTCCTTCCCAAAACCGCTGTAGCTTTCCCCGTCCTACCTGGCTCTTAAATGCTGGTAATTACATTCACTTAGCGTCCCGGTTGTAAATCAGCCCCTGATTAGATGGCTAGAATGAAAATCAACAGGGCCCTCTCCGGCTTGATCCAAATAGCCTAAAATCAATGTCCTTTTTGCTTCCCTAACCACTTTTCCATGAGCACAATCAGCAATGTGACGCGATCAAGCAAAGGTGGGAAGAAATAATTACAGAAAGTCAAGAAAAGACAGCCCCGACCTCTCACCGAGGACATTTTGATGCACCGCGGCAGGAAAAACACAGGTCTGGACGATAAATGAATTCCTATTCGGCAGATTTATTTGTTTTGATAGTTCAGGTTTATCTCGGCCCCTTCTGGGGACCGGCTACTTGTGGGGCAATTAACTCAGACAGACACCTTCTTATCCACTGAGAACCTTTTAATGCTGGCCATATCTTTACAGCCTTCTAAAACTTTCAATTTGTCGCCCAACGTGATTATTTGTTCTTACCTGATGGATTATCTCCCTGTTAGTGGCACATGGCGCAGAATCCATTACAGTCTTTTTGGCTCGCTGTCATCAAGCTCCTCTTTCCTGCCTCGACTGCACTGTACAAGCTTTCACTTACTTTGCTTGATTAGTTCTCCTCTCAAGACCACGTGGGCGTGTACGGCCTCTTTAGATTGACAACTCTATCATTTTCACATCAAGGCACATCACATCAGGGTGATGTTTGGTGACATCATTTTTTTTTTCTGATGTAACTCATCTTCAGCTAGAGCAGGGGTCTAATCAGCCCCAAGTGAAAACACCTGCACCCTTTACAGGACCTAAAAGTATCTTATAAAGAGTATCTATGCAGGAGAGTTAACATGCTGGAGCAGGAAAACCCAGATACGGAAAGGAAACATGGCTGAATTTAGTTGCTTTGTTTTCAGGGTCAGCGCCACTGAGTCTTCCTACCACTAACCGCTGTTACAGGCTCTTATACGCTGGAATAATGTCCCTCAAAATAAGAATTATGGCTGTTTATGGTTATAATACAGCACAACAAATGTTTTCCTTTATGATTTTGTATCAGAGTCTTGTAATTATTTGTTACATATTACCAGTTTTGGATGTTTTGTAGCAAAAACACAACAACAAAAAAGAAGCTGAAAAGCATTAAAATATAGGGTTTTTCAAGTGTTTTATCAGCTATATGAATCAAAAGTGAGTGTTATATATAGCAGTTGGAAAGCATATCCATAGTATTTACAAACTACTTATCATAGTGTTTGATATTTAATCAGTAATAATGCATCATTCTTTACTGTAACCCCCTACTGGAGCACAGTTATCACTCTTACTTAATGATTAGGTTTGTTGACATCATCTTATTCCCAGCATAGTTCAACCCAATTTCCACCTTAGGTCTAATCAGCCTGAGTAATTAAAACACTTGCACGGGTGTGCAAACCTATTCATTTGAAAAAATATTTATTAAAATGAAGTGGGGCAAAAAAGGGCAATAGTTCACTCCGAGTTGTTGTGAGTTGCTTTCCACCAAAAACGAATCATGGCTTCGCAGTAACCTCTGACAAGAGACCAGACTTGCATGTAGTGTGTAAAATCCTACGGCGTTACCCTAAAAAAACTAACACAACTTTTTTACTTTCGGCAGAGCACAAATATCATGATCACTGGAATACAATTTAAGCGTATGCACTTCTCAAAATGCCTGGGTGAAATACTCGAGTGCTCTACACTCCAGAGACATCCTGCGTTGCATCAAAATGTCACACTTGGCAGAATAGATAGTGGGCCTTATCAGGGGTCAAATTCTATTTTGCAGTAATTTCAGAAGTCTTTCAGCTGTGCCTTTCAGCTATGGCAGCGAGTGAGACGGTGCGCAATGGTGTGTGCTAATTTGTTGTGGAGCCCAGTGAGCCAAATCGGAGCCTGCAGGTTGTACTTTGAATTAATCAGAACTTCTAACATTGTGCAAATAAAGCTTCCTATCGGAGATCTTTGTTTTTTTGGGGTGGAACAAGTCTCCCAGAGGGGAAAACTGGGTACGATGTACAATGATGGAGCAAGCTCTTAGCGACTGTTTAATGGTGATGGGCTAACGATGTTAGGTGATGGGTGATGGGGTGGAAGGAGTGTGCTGTGCATCTCCGAATTTAATGGCAGGTTTGATAAAGTTGCAGTCCAAGATCGGTAAAAAGTAGGAACAATGGGCCGTTGTTGCCTGATAATTAACAAAATTGTAGCGTATCTGTGTCTGCACTAACGGCACCAGCATAACCTAATGGTGTTTTGTGGTTTGAGAGGTTTTGTTCTTATGGAAATAAAATGGGGTCGTGAGTACTTTGGCTGTGTATCACTACATCTGAATGTGCGAAGGCGTTTTGAGTGAATACGCTGGAGGTGGGCGATACATTCAAAGTGCGAATCTGTACAAATGTTTATGTCCAAATTAATTTAAAGGCTAAAACGTGTGAAAAAAAACATATCTGAAAAAGTAGATTTCATTTTTTTATTTGTATGGAGCAATTATTATGGATAGGGGAATGATTAAAATATATATATACTGCACAAGCTAACGTAGGAATGCACAAAGTGGCTTTGCATAAAGGTTTGCAGTTACTTGTGTGTTTGTGGGCAGAAGTCAACTGTATATGGCAACTGCAGGTCTACAGGTAGACGTTACAGTGCAAATAAAACCTACGACTTTTGATTCTTCCTCTTGCATAAGCCAATGCTTCTGCTAAGATATAATTTCACAATTCAGCAACAGAGCCAAGGGGTGCGAGCTTTCTTTGCTGTAAATCCACAGTTGCAAGCACATAACAAAGTTGCCTGTCTGAAAGAAGAAAAACATGTTCATAAAGCGAGTGAAAACAAGCTAACACAGACTAGAAAAAAAATGTTACACGAGTTCATTATAAGAAAGTGTCATATTGTCACAAGTCTAGCTGCTCGCATTCATTCAGTTCGACATAGCCGTCATACTTCAAGGTGAAATCAACTCCATTAGCGAAATAAAGGTAACAATCTCGCACCGTAGTTCTCCTCCCAATAAGTTAAGTACAAGTTCTAAATCACATTCCACCACCGCGAATACCAATCGTGTTTTTTCTTCTTTTCTTCCAATAACCTCTGTTACATATGTCTGCAGTTGTCTTCTTCAAGGACTCTCCCACCAGACCAGCATGTTCACGTGCTTCATATGCCTAAAAATAAATAAAGCTAAAGCAGCTTAAGATTCTGGTTTGGACACTTTGTGCTTTTCACCTGATCTGGCACAATGATTGGCCCAATTGTCCAGCCTCAGGCTAGATTTTCTTATTCCGGAAAACAGAACCCAGAATAGGTACGGCGGTGTACCACTTGAATTATAATATGCTGGAAGGTCATTATGGATTTTTTTCTGTGTGTGTGTGTGTGTGTGTTCAGTGACATTAAAAACATTTTTGCATGCATTCAGTGAATGAATTTTTTTTTACAAGTCTAGTATGTATTTTGAATAAGAAAAACAGCAGTAATTGTAGGTGTAAAACATGTTTAAATAAAGAAACGTTTTTATCGTTTTCTTTTGTGTAGTCATGTTGTTGCCTTTCACAGGTTAGTTTCCATTTACTTAGCTAGTGTCAGGGCTCTGCAGGGCACTGTGTTACTCATGCCTTACTGTACCTACTACATGCATAAATCTGGAACCTGTAAACAACAGTAATTGGGCTCAAGGGGAAGTGGACAAAAAAAAAGCAAATTGCTTCCATGAGTTTACATATCATTTCATCTCGTTTGTAGATTTATTTTCGGTACAATGCAGGTGAAAGGAATGGAAAGCGAACAGAAATTCAGCAAAGACATGCCCTCCAAAGAACTTTTGTTTCCAGTCAGAGATTGAAGGGAAAAAAACTTTATGGGAGTTAGTCCACTGTTGAAAGATGCTTTCATTCACTTCCGCAGTTTATCGATCAGCTTCTAAATCTATTATTTACTTTAGGTTATATATCAGTGTATAGTCTTTGCACTTCAGCCCCAGTGCCACTATTTATTTCTTTTTATGGTTAGTGTATATATTCTTGTCAAAAACTGTGCAGTATTTGATGATGGCTGGTACTGAACCCTGTGTCACGTCCACATAATGTCAATGTGAGTCTATGAATGCCCCAACAAAACAAGTTAGTTTGCAAATGTGCTGTTTTTAACAGCTGGGG